AAAAATATCAGCTTCAGTTTTGCCACTTTGCTAATTTTTAGTTCAGCCAGTGATTTTTACCTTTAATCTTGTGATCTCTTTCCTTAAAAACAAACCTGTTTCAATTATTTTTTTAAGGTTAAACGAACAATTCTCATTTTTAAGAACTTGCCAATCAAATGTGTTGCGAAAAATTAAAAAAAAAAAAAAATCTGCTACGTACCATCTTTCTGTCCTGGTTATTGCATTTTGTAAGACACCAGCCACTCCGATAGGCAGTCATCTTACATGAAACATATTTTGCACAGTGAACGCTGAAAAGCCTTTTGCCTAAGCAGAGAAACAGCAACATCCAGTGAATTCTCACCTAAAGTTCAGCAGTAATTAAGCAAAGACTAACCATCAGCGAAATGGTGAACATAGAATCATAGAATCATAGAATGGTTAGGGCTGGAAGGGACCTTCAAAGGTCATCTAGTCCAACCCCCCTGCAACAAACAGGGATATCTCCAACTAGATCAGGTTGCTCAGGGCCTCGTCCAACCTGGCCTTGAATGTCTCCAGGGATGGAGCATCCACCACCTCTCTGGGCAACCTGTTCCAGTGTTCTACCACTCTCATGGTAAAAAATTTTTTCCTAATATCCAACCTGAATCTACATGGGTGTTCTAAGATAAATTGGCAAATAGAAATTGACCCATTCTGATTACCCCAGAAGCCAAAGAAACTGGGTCCAAAATGCATCACTTAGTAGGTGTACTCAGGAGCCCTCTAGGCTGATGGTACCAAATCAAAAAACATACAGGTTTTTCTCTTATTTTCCAAGACTGCAAAATTTGAAACATCTGGAGCCATTTGACTTTTCTTTTCCCCCACAGCCTCCTCTTTAAAAAATACATATAACCCTAAAATCTTAGTGAATTTGGTGAAATGAATGAATTTTAAAAGAAATCTCAACTCCATATTTGTACCGTGTTAAGGTCAGCTATAGGAGATTGGCAAAAGGCAGGAAGCAAGGCTGTCAGTTCACTGTGGCTGTGGTCAGGAGAACACCACCACCACCATCACCTCTGGACTTCGAGCCCGTTCATGCCCCAAATCTCTGTGACTTCAGGTTGTGTGCACTACCTCAGATTCATTCCGCGTTCTTTAGAGCCAGTATTTTCAAAAGCAGCTGAAGCTGACAGAGCTGCAAACCTCCTTTCCATCTGCTGGGGAAATCCCAGCCACTCGCATTTTTCTTTTTTCCAGTCTTCTAATTTCCTGATTTCCGGGCATGATTTCACATTCTTAATGGGGACTTCAAAGTGGGGATTTGGGGAGGATGCGTTTGTTTCCCTGATTTATTTAGTTAATAAGCAAATTAGCAGACAGAACTCCATGTAGTTTTCTCTATAAAAATGTGTTATTTGTAAGTACTAAGGCCAACGCAATTCAGTTGCAGGACTGACCATAAATCCACATCAACATCCTTCAATGGGTTTCCAAACATCCTGCCATAGGCTATGGCTTACCACCAGCAAGGTGCTGACTGGCAAGGCTTTGTCTCCTCTTTTTGGCACCACACGTGGTGTAGGAGTGCTTTGCTGGCATGTTTAAAAGGGCTCCAGCTTCCCAACGGGGTGGGCCAAAGGATCTTGTCACTTAAGGCTGCTTTAGCAAGTGATACCTTCCTAGAAATTATGTTAGCAATGTTCTTAAAATCCTGATCCAGATAAACGAGGGCACCAGTTGCCTAAGCTGCTTCCACGCTGACATGTGCGTGAATGCATTTGGAAAAACAAGAGCCAGCTTTTCCATGTAGATGCATCCGTAACGCAGGCTGCGAGTTGCCAGATAAATATTCATTGGGTTAAATAATAACTTTTGGCTCTCAGCTCTTCTAATTTGTTAACAGGAACAGCAGATATGGAATTGGAGTTTCCACAAGCTTTAGTTACATAAGGAATCCCAGTGACGGATTGATGGATTGATGTCATTCAACCAGACCTCCTCACATGATTAGGCCTTGTGCAATCAGCCTCTTATTTCTTTCCTACTTTTGCTCCAGGCTGAAAATTAGCATTGGGCAAGCCTCAAACAACCCGATTTGAATAACAAGAAGTATGGGACACGGTTCTTGATGCTTTAAATCTGCCTGGGAAATCTCCCCAAAGCCAATTTCCAGGAACGCCACGTTACAAGGATAAGTTTTTCCAATGCCAGAAGCAAGAAGTGGTGGATTCTTGCATGGAGCTTCAGATCCATTCTCAAATTTGCTTAACCGAAATTCACCTCTGAGTATTTTAGAAAAGCAGATGTCCCACTTTGCTGAAACTTCTGTAAAGCTCCAGCCACTGTTAAAGACAAGCAATTCCTAGGATGGGGAACAAACAGAGAGTGCTGGAGTTTTAGAACAGTCTTACATCAAATTAAGGAACGTTAGTATATTTTGCACCATATACAATTTTTAGCTTGATTATTATTAAGCAAAAAAAAAGGACAAAAAAGAGCAATTGTTTTTAAATACATTTAATGTTATGAAACATATTACCCTTATATTGGTTAAATCCTTGCTAAATCTTAACATCAACAATAATAAAAGGTTTTTAAAAATATTTTCTTTAATCACACGATTTTATCTTTGTTTTATTCTAGGGCAGAAAACAGAGTCTTCATAAATAAAACACTGATGTGGAGTATAAGACAAACCCAGGCCAGACAGTTTGCTAAAAAATTTGTGAAAAGTGCATCTGGCTGGCTCAGGACTCCCTGAGTAAAGTAGACATTTTCCCACACACATCTTGGCTGTTTGGCTTCTCACGAGAAAATCTGAAATACAGGCTGCCTTTCTCATTTTAAAGGTATTATATATACATGTCACTTGCAGTGTGAGGTAGGAACCAGTTTATAGGGGTCGTATCTAATCTGGGCCTCACCCCCTTATTGCTGCCCCTCCGTTTGCTGGGCCAAAAGATAGAATTAAGTGCAAAACAAAGCCTCAGCTATCTGTGAAAGTGAACTACTTTTTACTTTCAATTGCAATTCATCAGCTGATTATAAGGAAGGACACTTGTCGTGATTTTCACCTTCAAAGCAATAAGAGGCACAAAAAACGAGATGTAATTTTTTTCCAAAGGATGCCTTCGAAAAAAAGGGACCTGAACACTAGAAGAAAACAGTGTTTCCAGGTAACCAAATCCAAAACTCCATGAAGTTTCTGTTTTGTTACTGAACCTGGCCCAGAGTAAATTCTTAGTTGAAAAATAGCAGCAACTCAAAAGTGCATAAATTACAAACTTCATGAATAAATTAAGGAAACAGGTTTGCTGCATCTAACTATCCTCCTAACTGTCCCAAGATCCTTTTAATTTTATAATGGACATGGAAAATCAGAATAAAGATATGACTATTTCAAAACCAAAACTAATCTAAAACCTTCAGGAGATTTCTTTCTGAGAGAAGGCATCTGGTCTTTTACTGAAATTCAAAAGATATATAGAAAGACTGGAAGGAGCCTAATAATAAGACAATCCCCTCCTCCACCACCGAGACTGAAACATAGGCTTTTCCATCCATATATAGACTTGTAATCCAGGGTGTGAGTTTTCAAGAAATGCCAAGCCTCTAATTCCCAGCAATGCTGATTGTTGGAGAGCTTGCACGCTAGGAAGGCTGAGGAGTGACCCAGTCCTGAGCAGAAGGGGAGGCAGGATGCTTTGGAGAAATTTGCAGCTGTAGTAGGTTCAGCTGTGGGGCTTGCAGCTTTTTTCATGCCTCGTACAGACTCTTGTGAGTCCTGCATTCACAGCCTAAGCAGTCCAGTGGCCATCCAGAGGCTGCAGGAGACAGAGCTGGAGTGACATATTGAAGGCCTGGGCTCTAGGGGACAGTAATAGTCACGTCACCAGACCCCCTTCCACCAGCAATCCATGAGGTGGTGTGCACAGAGGTAGGAAAAGTGCTTAATTGGTGTACGAGGATTACGTTTGCTCTGAAGTTCTCATCGGGACTGCTCTTTAATGTGCAGCTACTCTTCAGCCTCATCATTCAGGATCATATTCATTCATGGTAGAGATGAATCCACCAGCGAAGCAAGACAGTATCACCAATTGCTTTCTTTGCAGTGAGGTGGTTTCCACTGGCTGGCATGCCCTTAGAAAAGCACACTATTTCTTGAACGAAAAAAAAGTAGTTCTCAGTTTATTTGTGGTGAATACTTATTTTTCCTTTAGCACAAATTTAAATGCTGGGTTTCCTTCCAGGGAGGTTGTTCATGGAGACATACTTATTACAAACAAATTTGGGTAGAGTTCATGCTTCTGTATCTGGAGTATATTGTGAGTTGAACAGAGCAGATCTAGAAGGCAACTGGTACGGCAACTTGAACTTCACAGAATCCACAAAAAAATTCCTGTTAAAAATCTCCTTCGAAAGAAGAACATCAAGCTTTTCTCTTTTCCCTTCCAACTTGCTGCAAGCACAGAGATCCTCCTTTTCCCTTAGCTAGGACCTACCCTCAGTCCTGGCTGATCCACTGTTGGCTGTGAAGGCCACCGAGCAGGATGAGCATCCAGGGCCTCGGCTGCAGTCTGTGCAGGTGATAATCTCAAATCAGAATAATAATCCATGGTTTGCTTTGCTGGAAACACAGCTGTGACAGCATTTCCTTCACCGGAGGAAGAAGGTTCAGCTTCAGACCTCGGCCGTGGCTGAAGAAAAATTCCTTTTTTTTTTTTTTTTCCTGGAAAATGTTTGTATTTATAAGGCAGGTCAATTGGTAGCTTTTGAATGTTAGTTTAGTGATGTCAGTTTGTAATTTCTGATAAGTAAGAACGTTTTGAGGCTCAAAGATGAGGCAGGCAATAAATTCACGAGGGGTTAGGATCTCTGACAGCAAAGAGAGCACTTGCTGCGGGCAAAGGTTGCTTCAACCACAGCTCCATGGGAATATATATACCAAAAAAAATCACCTGTCAGAGTTACAGACAAGTATGAGTTACACATAGTCCGTGTAGTTAAATCCGTTTTTGATTTTGGAATTAGATGCCAGTTTTTGAGGTAATCCAGTCACGGAAATAAGTCACTCGTGTGTAAACTCCAGGTTTATTTGGTTTGGCACATTCATCTCCCCAGCTCACTATTCCCACGAGGTACCACATCAGTCTGGAGTCTGGAGTAACCAGTGGTCCCCCCGAGTCCCCCTAGAGAAAAAGGAGGGGAAAAAAGAGATTTTAGTGATCCGAAGGGAAAATATAGCTCTCTCCATAGGCAGGAGGGGGTCTCCAATCTGAGAAGAAAGCAAGCAGGATTTCAAGAGCTGCCACTTGTGCAGAATCCAGGCTGTTTCTGAAACTTGAGTCGGAAGTCTGGGGATTTTTCCTGTTTGCTATGGAACCTCCTGACCTGCCACTGGTTTTACAGTAAAAAAAAAAAAAAAGCTTATCTTCTGGTTTGTGAAACAATGCTTCCCACCTGCTTTGTCTTCCTCCTCATTCAAAGTAGGGAAACACAAATATATACAGCAATCTTAAGCCAACAGGACCTGTTTGTTTGGGGTTTTTTTTTACAGTAAATATTATCCTTTCAACAAATTCTTGTAGTTACTTGCAGCAATAACATTTCAAAAAGGATTTAATCCGGACCTTGGTTTTCTAATCAGACAGTATCTCCTCAAGATGTTAGCCACTTTCAAAGACTGAATTCAGACACTATTAAGAGCATGACATGGTTAATAATAGTTAAACTGGAAACCTTACAGGCTGAAAGGCAATCCTCACACAACAGACCAAAATTCTCCATCTTCCACCAAAATGCTTTACTGAAATAAAGAGCAGTGGCATCCTTCTGCTCAGGTCTCTTCAATGCTGAGCCAGACAGGAACAGAGGAATTGAGCTTCCCAGACTTACTCTACAGGGAATTTCGTTTTAGGCATAAATCTGTAGGACTGGGATTCTGGAAAGGGTTTTGAACCAGTACTTAGGAGTACATTCCTTGTAAATAACATAAATAGAAATTACCTTTTTAACAGTTATTGTTATGAAAATATTTTTGTTTGAACACAAGCATTTCCTTGCAACATTTGCAAACCTATACCACCACACATGTATCCTTACCATTCCATTTATACCTAGCTTCCTTGTAATTCTCTTTGTTGCAGACAGTTTTCCTTCCACTGATCCAAGTCTGTCACCAAAGATCATATCATAACAGATCTGTTATGAGATGATCAAGTCCAGAATTTAATTTCAATGGGTGAAGTGCATTTTTGCTGGCAACTTAACTGCTACATTCTTAAACTTCTTCCTTCCTGACTGTACAAACATCTGGTCTTGGCTACTTAAGACATTTGATTTTTAACTCATATTTAGTTTTTCAGCATTTAGTATCTCTGTCAATGTCTTATCATATCACTTTGCAAGCAAATTGTTAGTTAGATTTCACACAGAAGAAATTATGAGGAGCAAATGGGCTTTTAGCAGCTATTCTGAGTTACAGAATAAGAATTTCATTTCATGCTACGAAACGTTTAAATTCTGAACATTATACTAATGTAGGTCTCTTAATATGGGGTTTCTTTGCTAAATGATGCGTACTAAATGCTATTTCATTTTACAACTTAATACCTGTTTGAATGGAGCCTATTTAAAGGACAAATATATTGTCAGGTAAGACTTGGTCAAGCAGATACTGGAGTCAGCATTAGAAGTTTTCCTTTCTAATTTCCAGCTACAGTTACCTGACAAGCATCTACTCCTCCTTCCAAGTATCCAGCACACAACATCCTGGGTGTTATGTCCCCATCATACACTTCTTTTCTGTTGCAAGTGTTTGAGTCGATAAGTTTCACCGTTGCTTCCTGAAGAGCATTTGGAGTTGGACCTAAGGGAAAATATAGTTTGGGGATTTAGCAACAGAATTCCTTTGCAGTAGTTAAGATACAGGAATAGTATTTAATGTTCTTTTATGGAGGACCAGCTTGACTTGATTTACTGTGGAGGTTTTGTTTGTTTCTGGGGTAGGCCCTTGAAGAAAACGTACATACTCATAGTCTTACTTAGGAACCATACCATTAAGACAGAAGTAACAACTTAAGTGCCTTAAGTGTAAAACTATGTATTTCATACATGTTCCATATAATACCATGGAATACAAATTACCTAGCAGTTTGGGCAGATGATACGAAATGAAGACATCTTGGTTCCATCGCTAAATCACTCTCAGTGTGGTCTGATAAGAGTGCAAGCTTGGGTAAGTCACCATCTGCAGCTCACTCTGCACATTCACCTGAAAGCCCACAGAGTTATCTATAGCTTCTGGCTAGAGCTGGGAGAATATTTTTCAGGTGGTACATAAACACATGCATGGCTGGACTACCTGTCTTAAGAATTTACACTATGAAATGGAAAGGCTGGAAAAAGAGAACAGTTGTCTTCCTGTTTTCTGCTTCAGGGGATGGTAGCTCTGCCTTTGTCCAGTCTAATTTTAGAACAAGAAATTATTATGATTAAACACACCTATGGTTCATAGACAAAGCATTAGGCTTGCTGCCACACAACATGTGGCCACAGAAAGTGGTAACAATTCCGTAGTCGATCGGAGCCACTGTTTGAGTAACATACAGGTCGCCTGGTAGACTCAGGACTCACCATCGTTGGTAAGTGCTCCCCAGCCTGTGATGACAGCGTAAATATTGTACGAAAAAGTCTGAGATGGCTCAGGCAGACAGACGCGGTGTATGCTGCTCGTGAACTCAACTCGTTTAGAGAGTTGCACGAGTGCGATGTCGTAGTCGTGTTCTGGGTAGCGGTACTTTTCATGGATAATAATAGTCTTGACGGATCGTTTCAAGCTTGGTGGCTTCAAAAGAGCTCCAAAAGTAGCAGTCCACTTCTGAGGGTGACTCATGCTGAAAAAGGTAAGAGTGCTGTAAGTATTTAGCTGTAAATACACGTGTTTGGGACTTCAAACCTGGTGAGCATCTTTACTGTAAAGCTCCTTCAAGCCAGCTCCCTACTAGATTCTTAAGGCATCCATCACTTTCCACAACACTCTGTCCCACATAATTGTGGGCTGCTGCTAGAAGAGGGCAATCCTGCGTTCCCTCCTCAACCATGGTCTCATCCTCCTCCCCTGCTCCTTGTCCCTGATCTGTGGCTGCAAGGTGTAATCAAATCAAAAAACTCTTCTGCTAGAAAACTCTTCCTATCTGTTGCTCTTTTTGGACGTTAATAATCTGTTCAACCAGCCGTTCCATCTTACGTGCCCTGCAGCTTCGCAGTTGCCATGCTTGAAATAAAACGTGCTGGGAGTGCATGGCTGAATGGAAGGGTAGGAATGTGGGAATATAACTTCTGGCAGCAGCCTGCAGCGGCAGCAGCCTAGTTGTAACACAAAGGAGCACCTTTAGAAGCATTTAGTGCAACAGGAAACAAATACTCTGCCATTTCAGTCACATTAACTTTTCTGCACTTCTTTGCTCGAGATGCCAGGTGACTATTGATTTCCACTCGTACAATTCCCAGTTCTGCTCCAAAGAGTCAAGCTTTAATTTCTCATTGAAACATTCAAGTGATGGACCTGCTTAACCCTGACTTTTCTCCTCCAAGGCAGAAAATTGTTCCCTTGGAAAGAGTCAGGGGCGTGGTGCAAATCTGGAAATCCACACAACGGGATACACGAGGCACATTCTGCTGCAGATTCTCTCGAAGGTGGGAACTTACTCTCTGAAGCAGTGAGCTGCAGATACAAGCCACGTATTGCTGATGAGTGTTGCACCACAGCGATGGATGTTATTGTACTGCAAACTAGCTTGCCACGGCCAGTCCCCGGTCTCTGCAGAAGACAATCCACCGACTATCCGCAGTGATGATGATTTTGCCATTGACTTGACTGATCTATTCTGCCGTAACCCACAGACTGTCAAAAAGGAGAAGGATTGTATTAGCCATTCTTCTGTTTAGTAAATATGCCTGCCAGTGACTGTGGAAAATATATGTAAAATCACACACCATCTATGTTCTCTAACAGTATTAACATCAACAAGAAAACATACCTTCCACCAGCCCCCCAAACCAGAGATCCTCATGCACAACCCATTCTGTTAGAAGCCTGAATGAACAACTGACTGGTATGGAAAGCCATGATGGTCAACCATTCAGGCTTAGCTGTGTGAGCAGCCCAAATCAGGAATCAAAACCTTCACCACACACCCAGGATGATGCCCAAATACAGAGACTGCCAACTTTAATGTCCCAGGTAACTTGTCATTAGGGTAAAACATAAACAAGGCAAAATCTTGATCCAAGCCATGGGGTTTTACCATGCATGCACGCAGATTACATCAGCAAGATGTCACCTGGAAACAGGCAACTGCACACTGCATGAAGGGCAGTCTGCAAGTGGGTCTGGAGAGGCACTTCAGGCAAAGAGCATCGCACTAATCCAAGCCAGAGATGACAAAGGCATGCCTACCTCCAGCACGGTGTGCATCCATGACAAAAGGTATTACCCTCAAAAAGCCAGACAGAAATTAAAATATCCATGGTTTCAGCCACTAAACTCAGGATATTCAGGACCAGCTGAAGCTCCCCCATAGCTTTAGAAACTTCCTCAATGGGCAGAGCTACTTCAGCTGTCTTCTCCCATCCAAACAGCGTCAAATCCATCTTACCTGGACCAAGACCCACTAGTTTTCATCCGGGCCCGATTTCAGCTAGACATTAGGAAAGTTGACAGACAGGACTATCCCAATCCATTGAAAAAGAGACAGAGCTAAAAATTATTTACATAGTGACAACACATTCCAAACCATTGCACTGCCTGTCTCATGCAGACAGTGACCCAGAAGAGGACAAAGCAGAAATCGGTAGTACATCACTGAAGAGCTGCCAGCCCCAGGGCCCTTGAAGTCCTCAGAAGTGAAACACTGGAGCCAGGCAGAGTGTCACCTCTGCCATTTCCTGCTAGGATCTGCACAAGGTTATGTTAACAGTACTTCATAGTCAAAAGCAGCAGCAATAACACAGCAGATTGAAAGCGGTTCATAAATTTTGGGGAAAAAAAAATTTAAGAATCGTACAATATTGAGCTCGTGCTCAGCATCGAGCCTGCCCTGTTCTGAGATTTAAAACCACAGTGAAGGAAATCAGTGAAATCTAAATCTACTTGTCCAAAACTTTCTGTGTGAAAGGAAAACTGGAGAATATACCATAATTGATAAGACTGTCTGCACTAGCAGGTTTCCCTCCTGAAAGCTATTGATAATCCTCAATTACTGGTCCTAAAATTGCACAATCCCGTCAACCACTTGAGCAGTCACTGTTCAAAACACAGGGAAACACTCACAGTTCCATCAGTGCGCCAAAAAACCAGCACCTAAGACCGACTCAAAAAGTGATGCTATTTAATCTTCCATTGCTTGACAGCCTGCTCCTAAGGAACACATCAAAACTTCCCAGTATTAAAAGAAACCCAACTTGTAAGCAAAGATGGCTTTTTATGACTCTTAAATCTCCAAACAAGCTGAATTCCTTCTCTGAAAGCTTAAAAACGTCTCTAAAACTACCTCAACTTAACCCCTACAGCACTACCTTGAGAAGACCAATCATATTTCATTTTCATAAGGAACAATTTTGTGCTACGAGCCTTTCCAAAATCCAGAACGTTTTCATTATAATCACAGGCTGATGTAACTTCTATACATTTCCTTATGGCCCTTCCTTGCTTCCAATGCACACTAAAGAAAATGACATATTCCCCATTTCTGAGAGCACACAGAAAGCTGTTATTCCAAACTCTTCTGCATGTGCCCAGTCCTGCCCGCTTTGGGGGCACTTCTCACTTGCAGGTTGCGATAGTGGTCTCTGCTAGGCTGCCATCCTTAAAGCAGCAATTGAACAACGTGCTGGTACGTCCTCAGGTGTCAATCTCATCACTTAATGCGCGAAGAGGAGAGCAACAGGTAGCAAGGTGAAGATGAATTGTTGCGCTACAGCATCCAAGACGAGCACAGACGGAACAGATTCTGCAGTCACTGCTCCAGGATGCGGTTCTCATACTTTACATCAGGGAGACAGAGGACAGGGTGTCTGCCCTGTGCAGGCAGGATTAGACTTGACGAAGTATTCTGTTTAAGTACATGTTTTAATCGATTTATAATAGAGATTGCTTCTGACCATAATCTGCTCAAACATAAAACGCACTCAAATCCATGATAAGGACCCTCCTGCCTTTAGCACATTATAGCACACCTGTCAGCTAGCTGCTGTGCCTGACATTAAAGCAGTCAACTAGCTCAAGCAATTAAGTTCCTTTATTTATTGGAGCTCTTCCTCACTCACTCAATGTTACTACATACACCTAGGAGTCATTGGAAATGTCGCAGCTTTCACGTAGAAACATGGCTTAGTCTCTGCGAGCCTAAATACACAATTGAGCAGACGCAGTGTAAAAGCTCCCACTGGTACCAGCAGCAACTGGATCAGGGTAGTAAATAAACCAGTGTTCTGAACACTGCAGCTCAGCCCTCACTGGCTAAGTCCTCTCCTTCCTACATGGCAGGGTTTACATTTAAGATGCACCCTCCACCTTCCACACCAGCACTGCTGGAGGCAGAAGAGTGCTGTAAGTACTTATGCAGCACGACCTGTCTCCTCTCTGCCCAACACTGGGCATTTCTGTAGAGCCCTCAGCACTTAGAATCATAGAATCACAGAATGGTTCGGGTTGGAAAGGACCTCAAAGATCATCTAGTTCCAACCCCCCTGCCATGGGCAGGGACACCCTCCACTACACCAGGTTGCCCAAAGCCTTGTCCAACCTGGCCTTGAACATTTCCAGGGATGGGGCAGCCGCAGCTTCTCTGGGCAACCTGTTCCAGTGCTTCACCACCCTCACAGTGAAAAGTTTCTTCCTTATATCCAATTTAAATCTGCCCTCTTTCAGTTTAAAGCCATTGCCCCTTGTCCTATCACTACATGCCCTTGTAAAAAGTCCCTCTCCAGCTTTCCTGTAGGCCCTTTAAGTACTGGAAGGCTGCAATAAGATCACCCCGGAGCCTTCTCTTCTCCAGGCTGAACAGCCCCAACTCTCTCAGCCTGTCACTTGCTCTTTTCTCATCATTTGCACTTTTCTCACAGAATTGCTGACATTTTAAACAGAAGGAACATCTCACTGCAAAAAACCAAAACAAAACAAAACGACCAGGGAACTCAGCAGTGGGTGTAGACTTTTGCTAAAAGGGATTTTCACCCCATCACCACTATTTTCAAGTCAGTCTTCCTGAGTATCCCAGAAGACACTAAAGAAAAAGGCTTCCTTGTGACTGAGCAGGATTTCTAAACACGCGGCTCATCTGTGTGAAGTACAAGGTCACATTCGTTAGGCAGGAGGATAAGAAAATGCTTTTAAGGGCCAGGAAAAGTGCTTAGAGACTATTAATGCTAATTAAAACAATCAGAAATTTCCCAGGCTTAAAAAGCCCTCACTTACTGTCATTGAAGAGGGCTTCTGCTCTTTTCGCCTCCACATCTGAAACAAAGAAACAGTCAGGGTAAGGCGAGGACAGCACAGACAAGGCGTCTCATCTGCATGGTCATCCCACCTGGCAGCTCTTTGAGTACATGGCACGGCAGGAAGGCTGCTGGAGAAACCATTGTAGCTCATTTGTGGTCACACTCTCGTGCTGGCTATGGCACCCCTCTCTGCGGTGCTGCTTGCTGTTCTCCAGCCAGCCAGTATCCTCTGAGGACCAGGTATAGGGTTTCCCCTCTACTGCTGGAACCTCATGTTTCTGGAGGAGAGTACAGACAAAACAAGCCCTGTATTACTCAAGATCCACAATTTTGTCGGGGAGAAATTTTTGCAGTGGAAACCTTTGAAGTTCCTTTTTTTGTAAAAAAATCAACTGGCCACATTTTGCACTGGAGTGAGGGCCAGAGGAGATCTGGTATGTGTTCTGTGCCCTCTTCCACATCAGAAGGCACTGACCTCACTGCAGCAACGCCAGCTTACAATAGCAGTGGCTCGCTTGCCTTTGTCCTATCTTACTGAGCAACAGCATGCCTGGGACACTATTAATACTAAAAGAGATGATAGTTAATAGCAATTTATTGCATGGCACAGCAGGTTCTAGCAATACATTCCCTCCTTTAATATGCATGTTGTGTGTTTATGGTCAACACAGTATGCTCACGTTGACAACAGCAAGCATTGGCTCAGGGTATTGGTTTATTCTTCTTCTTCCAGGATGCTATTTTTACTTGAGTTACCATTTTAGTTGCCAGCAGTAAAAACGAATTAAAAAATTAAAAATCATGCTTTCAGTACACTTTTAAATTATATAGCGATCCTTGTGCAGCATCCACAACCCCACATTTTTCAGCTGGATAGCCTTTCTCAGCAGATCCCTGTCCTCATCCGCTTACTTCATTTCTCTTTTCTCTTTGCGGCTACACAGAGTAATATCCTAGTTTTGATCCAAAACCACACCAAGCCAGGAGGAGTCTCTTTTGAATGCAAAGGGCTCTGGGTTATACCTGTCACCTGTTGTGCTCGTGTCACTTGTGTTGTGCTTGTGGGCTTGACACTCCTCCTGGTAGGCAGGGTGAATTGCATGTTTGCAATCCACCATCACTAGACGTGTACTCATTCCTTTCTTACTGCTACGTTAAGCAGAATGGGATAGAATAAGGAAACAAACAGAACTCCAGTGCACGTACAGCTTGACTGTGGAGCATGTCACAGGGCAAAGGCAGTGCTAGGGCTGCTGTGTGTGCATGCAGCCACTGCTTTATTTTTTAAGAACGGGAGATGAGTTCTAATTGGACATTTATATAGCAACACAGTCTTATTCACTGTTCACATAATAAATAAGTTTTACTGGTGGGCAAGCAACAACTTGCAAGGTCCCTTTTCCGTAAAAATGCTCACTTGTTCGTTCTCAATTCCTATGAAAGAAAGAGGAATTGTTGTTTTCAATTGGTTTCAATTCAATAATGGGTTTTGTGTGGCAAGGTTTTGGTAGCAGCAGGGCTACAGGGGTGACTTCTGTGAGAAGCTGCTAGAAGCTTCCCCTATGTCCAACAGAGCCAAGGCCGGCTGGCTCCAAGACAGACCTGCTGCTGGCCAAGGTCAAGCCCATCAGCAATGCTGGTAGCATCTCTGTGATAGCATATTGAAGAAGAAAAAAACTGCACAACAGTAATTGCAGCCAGAGAGAAGAGTGAGAATGTGTGAGAGAAACAACTCTGCAGACACCAAGGTCAGTGAAGAAGGAGGGAGAGCAGTAGGTGCTCCAGGCACCAGAGCAGAGATTCCCCTGCAGCCCCTGGTGAAGACCATGGTGAGGCAGGCTGTGCCCCAGCAGCCCATGGAGGTTAATGGTGGAGCAGAGATCTACCTGCAGCCTGTGGAGGACCCCATGCTGGAGCAGGTGGATGCCCAAAGGAGACAGTGAACCTCTGGGAATCCCATGCTGGAGCAGTCTCCTAGCAGGACCTGCGGACCCATGGAGAGAGGAGCCCAGGCTGGAGCAGGTTTGCTGGGAGGACTTGTGACCCTGTGAGGGACCCGTGCTGGGGCAGTCTGTTTCTGAAAGACTGCACCCCGTGGGAGGGACTCACAACGGAGCAGTTTGTGAAGAGCTCATGTTGGAGAAGCTTGTAGAGGACTGTCTCCTGTGGGAGGGACCTCACCCCAGAGCAGGGGAAGAGTATGAGAAGTCCTCCCCCTGAGGAGGAAGGAGCAGCAGAAACAATGTGTGATGAACTGACCACAACGCCCATTCGCCATCCCCCTGTGCTGGTGAGGGGAGGAGATAGAGAAATCAGGAGCAAAGTTAAGCACAGGAAGAAGGGAGAAGTAGGGGGAGAAGGTGTTTTTAAGATTTGGTTTTATTTCTCATTATCCTACTCTGATTTGATTGGTAATAAATTAAATTAATTTTTCCCCAAGTCTGGTCCAGTTTTCCCATGGCAGTAATTGTTGAGTGATGTCCCTGCCCTTATCTCAACCCACAAGTCTCATTATATTTTCTTTCCCATGTCCAGCTGAGGCGGTGAATGATAGAGCAGCTTTGGTGGGTATCTGGTGTCCAGCCAGGGTCAACCCACCACAGTCCTTTTTGGCACCCAACATGGGGCCTGAGGAATTTAAAATAAGGATAGTAATTGGGAGAGGTAACAGGCAAAACAGGGACCGAACAAGTTAGCAGAATAATTGTGGGGAGTTTTCGGTTACTGGAATTGTGGTGCAGGGACAAGGGGTGGATTGTGTGTAAATTCTCCACTTTCATTCGGTGTTGTGAGGATGTTCTTGTGATTTTGGTGTGGTGAATGTTTTTTTTGTTGCTGTGAGAGAAGTTTGTGAAGATTGTGTGATGAATGTGAATTTTAGTGGTAATTCTTAGATGTGTGATTCACAGAGGCGAGGGGTGGAACATACGGGTACTTCTGCATTTCAGGAATGTTGGTTGTATTCTGAGAATTTCCATGGATAATAGGATTGGTCGTTGCCAAGATCCCTCACATCCAAATGTAATAATGCCAGATTGTAAAAGATAGGCTAGCAGAGGGATTCAGCAGTGGTGTAAACATTAAGTGCTTTGAAAAATCTGGCCCTACTTATTTATTTCAGCTGTGATGAGCATTCAGTGTTTTCCTAGAAATTCATGCAACCTTCAGAACTAGCTCATCATTTGGGTCACTCTAATATTTTATAGCTGGAAACTGGTAAGAAACCAACAAATGTAATCAACAACTAAAGAGTACCTTTTGCCTTCAAGTGCAATATCGATAGTCATGTTTTTTTAGCTTCTCTCTGGGTGGAGAGGCATTTACCTCATAATGCCTAATTATAAAGCCTGCAGTCAATTATTAACACTTACATTATGTTGCAAAGCTCATTGAGAAGACAAAAGGAGCAACCAGCTTTTTCGAGCGCGGTGCCGGAAGCAATTCGGCTGGCATGTTCTCGCTGCACTGAGTTTTGCTGTGAGTCACGCAGCCGTTCTGCAAGGCACCTGTCTGGATCTCTGTTTGCCTTTTCACGAGGCATCTCAAAAAAAGTACAAACCTCCCGTGGGCAAAATTTCACCCATCGCTTCCAGTTGGACCAACGTGTGTGTAATTGGAGAAACGAGCCTTCCATGCACAGGCTGCAAGTCTTAAATAGGATGTGTGCTTTGAATTTGAGCTCCCACCCACCCACTGCTGAAGGAAAAAGGCCAGTGACACCCGTCAGTAAAACCAGTGCTGTATTCACCAGGGTAGGGACAACTGCTTTGCTTAGGAGATCTGCCAGATACAATGCCCTGATCATGTATTCCACACTGGAAGCCAGAACACAAGTACCAAAGAATCCACCAATGCAATGGAGAAAGCCTCAAAGTAAAGGGAGTTTTCAAGAGGTGAAAGCAGGTCTGTCTGGCAATAGACTCAGGAACCCATCGTGGAGATCAGGACAGGTGAAATTACAGGCACAATACTCAGGACTCATAACCAAGACCCCAAACCCGGGACACAAGTATGTATTTGGAAATCTGATCTAACTGACACTGTTTTCAGATAAGCCGAGCCCACCGGAGATCCCATCAAAAGCAGGGAGCACTCTGGGTTACACGATACTGCTGAAAACCAGGTTACTTACTGGCTCGCCTCGTTAGGGGCTTGCCTTCACTCGTGACTACCTTGACATCTGTGGCCTGGTCAACAGCATAGCTGTTGGCATCGTGCCAGCCAACGTGTTGCAAGCCCTGCCTTGAAGCAATCACTTGTAAGGCACGAGAGACGATTTCGCTGCCCTGCTCATTTACTAGTTGCCCTAGTTGTTTGCACTACCAAGAAAAAGCATCAATTAGTAACAATTAAAGTGCCATATCTTGTCCCAACCACATACAGCTGCAAAAATAGTTGTTTGTGCGGCATTTAGGAAAACAGCGTTCAGGCTTCCACTGTAAACAAGAACAAGTTCAACTCGAACATGCGTTGCCTACCTGTAAAATGGAGCTAGCTATTTAATTAAAGCTTGCCTAACTTAAAAGAGAAAACTACTGTTTAATTTAAAATTATAGCAATCTATGGAAACGTGGCTTAGGGACTGCATGTTTCAGAAGAGGGCTCTGTTCTCCAACTGGACAACCAATTTTGTTAATACAGTTATTTTGCATATTTACTAAACACAGTAACCTTAAAACACGAATTATTGGTCTTAATCTCCTACTAATGAGAACAGTGACTTGCAGTTACTACTTAATATTACTATGTTATCAGTAAATAACTTCTTTTCAGTCCTCAGTATATATGTTTGAGCAAACATGGAAAGAAAAGGGGAGTAAGCAAGAGCAGGAAACCATCTTTATTTTGGTAATTGCTGATATGCAATAGCCAGTTAAGGCCAGGATTTCTAAGGAAGTTCAGTGCCCAAAGCCCATGGATCTATTTGGCAACCATCTAAATGTTTGCAGGTTCATAGTTAACTACAGAGTGAACGTGACCACTTATAGCTGAGAGATTCAGAGACTCCTACAGGAAAATGCGCTTGCTTTGCCATATCTCTAAATAGTAGCAGTGTCACTTCATCATGAAATGGTTTGGGTTGGAAGGGACCTCAGAGATCATCTATTTCCAACCCCCCTGCCATGGGCAGGGACACCCTCCACTACACCACGTTGCCCAAAGCCTCATCCAACCTGGCCTTGAACACTTCCAGGGATGGGGCAGCCACAACTTCTCTGGGCAACCTGTTCCAGTGCCTCACCACCCTCAGAGTAAAAAATTTCTTCCTTACATCTACTCTAAATCTACCCTCTTTCAGAAGAATTAATCTTGTGTCCGCTGCCTCATTTCGTTTTAGCCAGAGATCAGTGTTTATATTAAAAGGAAAATAACAGGCAGAACTCTCAGTGACAGAAATGGAGCAGATGTTACACTAAAGTAGATCAAGCGAGGCAAGCAAGTGCATTGTCAGGGGATATTGTACATTTTCAGTGTGGAAAGGGCCAGACATGGCTGCAAAATTAAAGATGATAAATCTGTTTTAAAAATCTGATACAGCTTTGCCTAATTACATCATTTTTCACAGACGTTGATTCCTACAAGAAATTCGATTTTCTTTAAAGGTTTTTTTGTATGTCGTAATATAACTGCTAGCTTCAAAGGCAAACTGTGCATTCCATCCTCTATTATACCAAGTTCCTCCACTTTGCTTGTGTAAGTTTTTTTTTTCCCCACAGAGGAGGCAAGGTAGAGGTTATCTTGAATACGGTATGAAGGGAGGAGAGGATTGTAAATATTAAAAAAAAAATAAAAAGAGAAATTATGTGCTTCAGTACTAATAATGCATTCTTGGACATGCATTTTTCCTACTGTCCTTAGTCACATTTTAATAAAAACTTCCTCAAAAAGAGAGAAAATGACAAAATTCTCAGCTGCATTGGAAACAGGGGGCTCACCTGGTTGAGGGTGGTGACAGGGCAACAACAGTGCGTGCAGGCAAAGAAGGATCTTTGGCAAGTTTCAGTAGATCACCAACCTGGGCAGCTGAGAAGAATGTCACAGAGTGCATCTGTCCTGCAGTGCCAATAGAGGTGGGGATAATAGCTCTACTTTAATACTCTCTAATTACCTTAAAGACCATGAAGGCCCTGAGGTACTGGGGTGAAATGGGAATGAGAGCAGTGAGCAGCGGATTCAGTCATGTTCTCAAAACCTGTACCCAGAAGGAAAGGCAGGAGTTTCCTGAAAGATGGCAAGACATGAGCTTTGGGTT